TTAAATTCAATTTAGTTAACATATATAATTGGGTTCAGGGATAAAGTTTAGTGATTGATCAGTTGCATATGTGGTCATTTCATCCCATGCTCTCCTTAATGTCATCACCCAGTTACCCCATTCCCCCACCTCTCTTATAACAACACTCAGTTTGTTTCCTATGATTAAGAGTCTCTTACAGTTTGTCTCCCTCTCTGATTTATCTTGTTTTATTTTTTTTTCCCTTCCCTTGTTCATCTATTTTGTTTCTTAAATTCCACATATGAGTGAAAACACATGATATTTGTCTTTCTCTGGGTATCAGGTCAGCTTTCATACTACCAAACTGATCATCTTTTTTTTTTTTTTAATGTTATGTTAGCCACCATACTGTACATCATTAGTTTTTCCTGTAGTGTGACATGATTCATTGTTTGCATATAACAATCCTAAAATTTGTATGGAGCCAGAAAAGACCCCAAATCACCAAGAAAATGTTGAAAAAGAAAAACAAAGCTGGGGGCATCATTTTGTTTGATTTCAAGTTATATCACAAAGCTGTGATCACCAAGACAGCATGGTACAGCCACAAAAGCAGACACATAGAACAAGGGAACAGAATAGAGAGCCCAGATATGAACTCTCAACTGTATGGTCAATTAATCTTCGATGGAGTGGGAAAAAATATCTAGTGGAAAAAAAGACAGTCTCTTCAATAAATGGTGCTGGGAAAATTGGACAGCTATATACAGAAGAATGAAACTCAACCATTCTCTTACACCATACACAAAGATAATCTGTAACTGGATGAAAGACCTCAATGTGAGACAGGAATCCATCAAAATTCTAGAGGAGAACATAGGCAGTAACCTTTTCAACATAGGCCCCAGCAAATTATTAACAAAACATGTCTCCAAAGGCAAGGGAAACAAAAGTGAAAATGAACTTTTGGGACTTCATTGAGATAAAAATCTTCTGGGCCGCAAAGGAAACAGTCAAAAAAATCTACGAGACAACACATGGAATGGGAAAAGATATTTGCAAATGACACTATAGATAAAGGGCTGATATCAAGATCTATAATGAACTTCTCAAACTCAGCACCTAAAAAACAAATAATCAAGTCCAAAAAATGGGCAGAAGACATGAACAGACACTTCTCCAGAGAAGACGTACAAATGGCTAACAGACACATGAAAAAATGTTCAAAATCATTAGCCATCATGGAAATTCAAATAAAAACCATATTGAGATACCACCTTACACCAGTTAGAATAGCAAAATTGACAAGACAGGAAACAACAAATGTTGGATTGTAGAGAAAGGGGAACCCTCTTAAACTGTTGGTGGGAATGCAAGTTGGTGCAGCCACTTTGGAAAATAGTGTAGAGGTTCCTCAAAAAGTTAAAAACAGAGCTACCCTATGACCCAGCAATCACACTACTGGGTATTTACTCCAAAGATACAGACATAGTGAAAAAAGGACCATATGCACCCCAAAGTTCATAGCAGCAATGTTCACAATAGCCAAACTGTGGAAGGAGCCAAGATGCTCTTCAACAGATGAATAGATAAAGAAGATCTGGTCCATATATATACCATGGAATATTACTCAGCCATCAGATAGGATGAATACCCACTATTTGTATCAACATGGGTTGAGCTGGAGGGGATTATGCTAAGTGAAATAAGTCAAACAGAGAGGGACAATTATCAGATGGTTTCACTTATTTGTGGAACATAAGGAATAGCATGGAGGACATTAGGAGAAGGAAGGGAAAAATGAAGGGGGAAATTAGAGGGAGAGAAGAACCATAAGAGACTATGGACTCTGGGAATCAAACTGAGTGTTTTAGAGGGGTGGGGGGGTGAGGTGATGGGAACTCGGTGCTGGGTATTAAGGAGGGCACATACTGCATGGAGCACTGGGTGTTATAGGCAAACAGCAGGTTTTCCTTGGGACTTTTGTTGTCTGCTCCTACTGGCATCTCCAGGTGGCTTGCTTCTTCAGCTTTAGGTTTGGGATATAGGAAGCAAAAAGAGAACCCAAAAAACTCACTGTCATGTTATACCTCCTAACCAAGGTTTGTAGCCAGCCCACCTTCTTTGCTCCGCCTTGAGTCTTACATTTGTTTTATGTATAATGTGCAGAGTTTGTAACTATACTTAGCAGGAGAAATAGAAAGAAGCATGTCTACCCACTTACTTGTTTTTGCCCTTAATATTTCCATAGCTAAGAACGATAATGGCAGCTACGTTTTGAGTTGTATCTACATGGCCAAGACCATGTTAATTTTTTTCTCACAGCAATCTCATTAGGAAAGTACAATAGTTACTGATGCCATTTTATACATGAAGAAATTGAAATTCAAAAATAATAATGTAAATATTTAGAACAATGCCTAGCAATATACAAATAAAGGTTTGGAAATGTTATTACTACTTTAGGGTTGTTAACTCATTTGATGGACCCCACTTGTAAGTGGAGAATTCAAATTCTAACCTAGGACAGTCTAAGATTATGCTCATAATCTTTAGATTGTAATTTTTCTCATTTTTGAGTTCAAACATCTGCATTAAGCCATTTCTACTACATCCCAACCTATTTCTTTATCCATCTCCTTGATTTCACTGCCACTATTATCTTCCCTTCACTTTCTCTAAGCTATAGTTCCCAAATTGCTTTCCATTTGTAATCTAATAATAAATAGTATGTATGCAGTCTACATATTGTTGACAAAGTAATTTAATATATATTATGTTTAATATTTATTTGAGACCTAACCTTGTAGGCAAGTATTATTATTGTCACTCTAAAACTGAAATTCAGAGAAATTCAGGGACTGGCTCAAGGTCACATGGTTAGGAAGTGGTTGAGACAGGACTCAAGTTTGGTGTTATTTCTGCCACCCTGTGCCGCATCTGTTACCCACAGTTCACTTTCATATCCTCCACATAGCTCTACATGCTCAAAGTTTACCACCCTTTAGACCTCCTAGCAGTTTGTAAAGGTCTTTGGAGAGGGAAGAAGGGAGGGAAATGACCCAGAAGTGAGGAGGTGCCTCTGTACTTTGATACGGTTGATACATTGAAGTTGTATTGGAGACACTGCCACATGATAACACACCTTTCTCCTGTTGCTTGCCTTTCCCATAGAGTCATGTGTTTAGATCTAGTGAAGAGTGGAGTAGCAGGGTGCACAGAAGAAACAGAGATGGTTCAGAAACATGACTACAATAGATTCTAGTCGGCAGAAAAGAAACCAAAGTAGAGACAGGATCAAGAACAGAGGACTGTTGAAGGGTTTTGGAGGGGAGGGGGGCGGGGATGGGTGATCCTGGTGGTGGGTATTAAGGAGAGCACGAATTGCATGGAGTACTGGGTGTGATGCATAAACAATGAATCCTGGAACACTGAAAAAATCAAATAATATTTTAAAAAAAGAACAGAGGACTGGAAAGATATTTACTAGACTTATTTGTTAGGTTTTTGTTACCAAAATTCAATACTGTGTGTGTGTGTGTGTGTGTGTGTGTGTGTGTCTGTTTGAGAGAGAAAGATGGAGAAGGGAGGCATTAAGGCATTAATGACAGCGATTTTAATTTGAAGAACTGGATGGGTCATTTTGTTCATAATTGAGGTCAAGGAAAAACAGTTTCAAGGAGGGAGTAGTGCATAGTAGAATGCTAAAGAGAAAAGGAAAATAAAGATTATATCAAGATAATTGGATTTGAAAATTAGCAGGTAATTAATGGCTTTACAGAAGTCCCTGCCAGAGGTGGAGATAGAAGCTGATAGAACAGTGGGGTGACATGGGAAAGCTAGGAAATTATTTGGAAGTGAGAAAGTGAAACTATTCATGAAGTGATGCTATGGCATGCTTGTGGGATTTGGAGTTGGAAAATCCATTTTCAAAACCCGATACTGCTTACTTGCTTATGCAGCCCTTGGCAAATTACTTTACCCATCTGGGTCTGTTTCCTAGAACATGAGCAACAGTTTGCTCTGTTTATTTTCCTGTGATCTAGTTCCTCATTGTGTGTCACAGGATAAATCATGTCATGAAAATGAGGCTTTTTTCTTCCCTCTTTCAAGTGACTCCCCCAACCCAACAATGGCACTTTCTAGTTGAGATCAGCTGAGATCAATTTGATATTTGATCAAGCCATGGTTAAATGTTGTGAGAATAAGTAGAGTTTTTTTTAATAACTCTGTTATTATGATTATACACAGAGAGGCTGCACATAAATATAATCTTATTTCCAGTTGGCCCCTGATTGAAAGTTAAACCTTGTCACTTGATAGGGTAATGCACAAAATTAGTAGGTATAATGTATTTCTTAAAAAAATTTTTTTAAAAAGCATTTGTGATTCCTTCAGAAGATATTATGTTAATGTAATGTTTTTATCTTGCATTTTCTTACATATTAAACATTTTTTTAAGTACTAACGATGTGCCAAATTCTGTGTTACTTCAAGTTTATCTTGTGCAGAAATATACTATCAGTTTCCATTTAATTTCAGGTCAAGATACTATGTAGATACTGTATTTTGTATTTCTTTTATATTCCTACTTCAGTTTAATTCAGTAATTTAAAAAATGGTCCAATTTATTTCTAATCTTCACTATAACCTTGGGAATAGGTTTAATTGTGTCTATTTTAATAGATGAGAAACTGAGCTTTTAAAAAATGACAAAACAAATTTAAACACCCCTTATAGAGCTCAACATATAGTAGCTGCTGAATAAATGTATGATTAACAATATCCTATAATACTTCAACATCTTCAATGTCTTAAGATTTGTAGAGAACTGAGTGTGCTCTCATCGCAGACATACAGTCAAGTCTAAACCAACATTTATGCCATCACAGTTTCCTGGAATGTCCTATATTTGTGTCCTGTTTCATCCATTTATTCAGTTACTCATCCATTTTTCTACTCGGCAATGAGAATGAACTAGTCACTCTGCTAATTCTTATGTCTGTTGGTCCACAGGTTCTGTGACTACATAGGTACATTCTGGCTGCACCTGCCAATACAATACTGGGAACGATGGTGAGTGCACCCTCCAGAATTGTGTGGCAATGGGTCTTAAGCCTGAGATACCCTGGAATCCTTTCAGTCACTTGGGCACTAGAACAAGATCTCCATTATTAATCAAATCTTAGTCCATCAGGTCTTCCAAAGGCCAGACTTTATCCTTAGGATCTCAACTGCTGTTGTGGGCTCTGTTCCCTCTCTTCAGCAGCTGCACATCAGGGTACTTACTAAAGGCTGGCCCTCTGCCAAACCTTATTGGAACTTAAAGCAAGAGGAAAAATCTGTATTACTAAACCTGTCTTTATTTATGTTCATCTTAATTTGGGTGGAGGGGTAGCAGTCATCTAGATTTTGAATCAAGGTGCCCTTTAAATTTTGCTCCCAAATCTAGTGCCTTACTTGCTTCAACCTAGTCCCCACCCTGTCTTTCTGGAAGAGGATTAAGAACGACTTTGGCCACATTAGCACAGGCAATGGCAAAGTTCCAAAACTGTGTTCTTGAGCTGATGCTCACCACATAGTTTGCATGGGAAACAAAGTCCATCGAGAGGTCATTCTTTACTCAATGTGCTCAACCCTCAGTGAACACTGTTCCTCTCCTTTTGGATTTCAAAGCCCTGCTTAATCCCTATAGACAGAGCCGACATTGTCCAGAGGAAATAGTATAAAAATGGTCTCACTGGTTTAAACATGAAGGAAATAAATCCAGACAACTAAACATGCAGGGCTGGCTTCTAGAGGCTGACTAGTGCCCACAGGTGCTATCCCAGGAAGGAGGACCTGTGCTAAAACTTCACCTCTGTAGGCTTCTTCTCAAGGACAGCAAACATAGTAATGTCTACCTGCAGTCCCCATTAAGTTCTTCTGATCCTCCTTGGAAAGGGCCCCATGTCTCCTGGGTCTGCTATGCCTCCTTCAGGGGAACCTGAGCTCAGTTTTTCCCTTGAGGCTAAAAAATGACAGAACCCTGAAATTAGGCTCTTTTTTGCAAGATTCCATCCATTCTAGAAAACAGATAGGGCTGCAGCTGGCTCAGTACTGGCCACCACACTTAATTATTGGAAGAAAGTGACCAGAGTTTGTAATTAGTGATCAGGTCGTACCCTGATGGGGAGAGGAGTTGATAAAGGAATTCATGGATACTCCAAAGTTTCCAATTGTGCCAGCAAATTTGCTTTTAAAATTTCTCTCCTTTTGGGGGCCCCTGGCTGGCTCAGTAGAAAGAGCATAGGACTCTTGATCCCAGGGCTGTGAATTTGAGCCCTGTGTTAGGTGTAGAGTTTACTAAAAATAAATAAATAAAACAAATTTCTCCTTTTTGTCCAGCTCATTGTTGGATCTGCTGATAGGTAGCTAAAGAAAACTGTTTGATTTGGACTTGACCTCCCCAGTGCAAAGAAGCTCTTCTAATATTTCCACCTCTGCTTTTTATTCTCAGGTCTCAACTCAAAGCTGAATCCTCTATAAAGGATTCCTTATTCAATCCTGAACTGAATTACTTCCCTCTTCTCTGGTGCTCACACAGTATTTTTCTTAGATGTGCTGAAACATTTATTTCTGTTTTGGCTTATGGTTTTTAGATTACAGATTCATGGTTACACTTTACCACTTTCCAACCGTTAAATGTAGGCAATTTGCTTAATCTCTCTACCTCAGTTTTCTTATTTGCAAATGGGGATGAGTATTATTTTACCAGATTATTGTAAAAGACCTGGACTCAGATTACAAATTCAACAGTTTCCAGTTTGTCTTGGAAAGGTTATGTAACTTAATTTCTCTACAGCCATTTCATCCATCTGCAAAATGGGAATAAAGATTGCATCTCCCACAGAAGTTATTATGAAAATTCAAAGAAATAATGCAGGCAAAGTAAAAAATATATATTAGGTGTTAACATTTTACTGTTGTTATTGCTGTTTTCTTGATTAGACTGTAAGTTCTCAGAGGGGAGAAATCCATTCTTATTTTTTCTCTTATCATTCAAAGACTTTCCTAGCTGATGGTCAGTAAGTGCTTATGGGTTGTTGAATATTTTCTGTGCTTCTACCTCTATTAGTTTATATTATTTGTAAGGGTTTTATCATGTTCAGCTTTGTTTTGGAATTTATATATGCGTTTTCTCTTCCCTCTCTTTTGTAATGTGATGTTATGCAAAACAATCACTCAGAAAATACCACATCAATAAGTGAAATAATACTAATGAATTCAGAGTCTCTTCACAATACAGAATCACAACATCTTTCTTGATAACAAATGCTGCATTTGAAATTGACATGTTAAATTTCCCCTTTTGAAACGAGACAAGTGGAAATCACCAAGTGAGCAAAGAAGGAGTAGAATCCCTTCTCTTTTATAACCTGAACATACTTGTGCCACACTGATGGGCCGTGTGCAAGCAAGCACACCTTTGGGTGCCTTAGTTCTGCCCTCTTCCTCCAAAGAAACAAAGCAGGCAGCTAGAAACATGTTTCTTTTTGTTTCAAATGATGTCATTTAGGTCCAGCACAAGGGATCTGCTTTCTATTCTCATTTTTTCTGCTCTGAGGAGCCCTCTTGGTTCCCCTTGACACTGGCACAACAGAGGCTGAGGGCTGGGAGGGAGATTGAAAGAGCTGATATACCACAGACTCTAAAAACACATGACAGAGAAAGCTAGGCTATTACTAATGCTGATCAGCTCAGAGGCAATGCAATCAAAACCTTCAATTACACCTGGGTGATTTAATCAACTCCCTGTCAAACTTGGGCTGGAAGTCCTCTGGTACTGTACAAATACAGTAATTACCATGCCAGCTTGCAATAAGATATCATTTCAGTGGATTAGAAAACACATTCTGTTGTCAATTACCAGCAACCGATTTATAGGCCCTGAAACAAGCAATATTTTTTAATTGCTGCTTTTGTGTCATTATCACAAAATTACTTCTGTTATGAGGCATTAAATCATCTCAGCAATGTTGCGAGTGGGGGCGGGGGGGTAGATTAAAGTTTTCACTCTGTTCTTTCCTGATAAAATGAGAATAGAAGCATAAAACTTGTATCCTGCTGTGTTGGATTTTGAACTAAAAAAACAACCAAAAAGCCCCAGAGGTTCTCAACTATGCAAATAATCATAAACAAATCCTGAAAGCTACATGAATGGATCAAAGTGTAGGAAACCAGGAGTCAGATTTATTTTGACCTGCCTTTTTTTTTTGTACCTAGGGCCTTCTTTTTCTACCATTTATTTGCCTATCTTCAAGTTTCATTTTGTAGACGTGTTTATTTCTTTTGAAGGTATGTTTCCTTTGACACCAGATGTGGCCATGGTCACTGGAGATCTGCAGATTTGGAAGATTTGAAAATTTGCAACTCTACCCACCCCCTCCCAAGTCCATTTGACCAGTCCAAAGAATAACAGTGATTTGGCCGGGGCTCCACTCAGCTTGTTCACAGATGTCCTTATGCACAGGAAGCATCCGACATGCCCCTGCTAAACCCCTCCAACCCACCTACCCCCATCCAGCCTTAATACACCTTGCCTGAGTTAGTTCCAAAAGGAGGCACTTTTATTCTCCCAGACAGAGGGACATGGGCAAAATGTTGTTATTGTTATTATTACGGTTATGAATATTCTATTTTGAAGTAGCAAACCTTTAATAGCACTTCATCTGAGGCGTGGTTTTAAATGCTTTACAAATACTATGATAATCCTGTAAAGTTTGCATTACTATTATTCCATTACACACATGAGAAGCTAATGCACTGAATGTTTAAAGCTTTGGCCACAGTAATATAATGGAAGGAACACTGGATGTATCTCAAGAAGAACCAAGTTGGAATCTTGACACGACCACTTTACTATGTCAAATTCAAACAATTATGTATCCACTCTCAGCTTTAGTTTCTTTCTCTTAGAAGAGGAGAGAATAGTAGTGGTAATATTTATTAAGTATGTCATGCATTCTTTTTTTTTAAAGATTTATTTATTTGACAGAGAGAGAGAGAGAAAGCACAAGCAGGGGGAGCGAGAGAGGGAGAAGCAGGCTCCCTGATCAGCAAGGAGCCCGACCTGGGGCTCGACCCCAGGACACTGGGATCATGACCTGAGCCAAAGGCAGCAGCTTAACTGACTGAGACACCCAGGGGCCCCATGTCATGCATTCTTGTACACATTTTACACAGACAAACTCATTGAATCCTCACAATGACTTCCTTAGGTAGAAACTATGGTTACCCCCCTTCTACTGACGATGAAGTTGAGGTATTGGGAGGTAAAGAAACTTGCTCAAGATTATACAGTAGGGAAGTGTTGGAGCTCCTGAGGTCCCTCCCTTAAACATTACTTCTTCATTAGCCAGTCCTCCGAACTATTGACCATCTCTGGTTACTTCCTCACCATGAAGATCCAGATCTATATTCCAACATCCTACTATGCATAACCACTTTGACAACATCACAGCCATCTCAAAGTTCACACGTTCACAATTTGATGCCGTCACTATCTTGCCCCCAAACCTGCCCATCCTTCAATACTTCCCATTTCCTGGAATGAATACTTCCATCTACCTGGTTGTCCAAGCTAAAAACCTGGGCATAATCCTGGGCCATAATCTCCCACTGGGGCATCTGCTATGATTTCCAATGGTATTTCTGATTTTAATCACATCACCTTCAGTTACACACAGATACCTCACCAACCACTCTCTGCTCCTGGTCTATCGTTGACAATGTCACTGCTCTGTCTTCAGAAGCTTGTGATTATTATCCCGATAAACTCCTATCATCTAAAGTCCTTGTAGAACACTAAAATTATTTTTTAATAAAAAGTCTATACCTTTTCTTAAGTGTCTGCATTCCCCTTCCTAGTTCGGTATCATGTATATCTATACCTCAGGATTGTATGCTTATCTTTATGGTCAGCTTTCCTTCCTTGCAGTTGGAGGCACTAGGGGAAGTAGATTGCTACAGTCCACTGGGTAAAACTGCAGCTAATTTTCTGACTTAGAGCTTGAAAGTATTATAAAAGTTAAAAATTTCAAGGTTCAGAGTCAGAATAAATGGGCCATAAAATTTTAAACTTGGAAAAGATCGTATGGCTCATCTTGTCAATTCCCTCTTTTTGAAAGGACATGCGGTGTCACTAAGGTCACTATAAAGCAAAGCTGATAAAGGATGTCAAAGTTCACAAAAACAGTATGAATAAATATGTAACAAAGAAGAAAGTCTTAAGTCCCTGCAGTTCACAGTCCAAAGACACATCTTCTCTCATGAAAGGCATAGATCTATGCCTGGCATATTCCTTCTGGGTCCTATTCATGTAGAGTCATTTCCCAGATGATATTTTCTTAAGATATGCTATGGAAATAAGGATGTCTCCTGTGGTTAGATACCATTCCTAACATAGCCTACAGCATCCCCTTCTGAGAAAGATATAATGAACATTGTCATGTTGAAACCTCTTGGAAATTATGCAGTAGAAATTTATATTTTTTTTTTTTAAATTTTTTTTTTTTTATTTATTTATGAGAGAGAGAGAGAGAGCGAGCACAGGCAGACAGAATGGCAGGCAGAGGCAGAGGGAGAAGCAGGCTCCCTGCAGAGCAAGGAGCCCGATGTGGGACTCGATCCCAGGACGCTGGGATCATGACCTGAGCCGAAGGCAGCTGCTTAACCAACTGAGCCACCCAGGCGTCCCGAAATTTATATTTTTTAAGCCAGAGTTCTCACACTCACTACCATGGATTCCCACTTTGTTCTGAAGTTTGATACTAATCAAAATCTCATGATGTTGAAATTAAATGGGCTGTGATGATGTAGTCACTAGTCGCATAAAAAGTGCTCAGTAGCTTCATGTGGCTCGTGGCTACTGTATTAGACAACACAGATTTAGATTACTGCATCAAACTAATTAGTTAGAATGATTGGAAGAGGGCTATTGTGTCACTTCCATGTGGGGATTTTGCTTGTTCATAGTTCTTTCTATGCCATGTCCCAAAGGTGGAATTATCATGGAGGACCAGTCAGGCATGGTGCCATGCCAAAAATATTAGGGACAGAGCCTGTGGGTGAATCTTAAGTTCTACCAGATAGGTCCTCAACAAACATATGCATCTGGACATCCCAGAATGGCTTATTTACATTAAAAAATAGAATCTCACTTGCTCATGCCCAATTCCTGGAATTTGTTCTGGTTACTGGTTGTGCAAATAGCTGACTCCATCAGTTATATTAATACCATACCAAAGAGTTGGCAAGAGCAAAACGTGCTTCCTGCCCCAGGATGATGGAGTTGGATTTGCCACTGTGGCACCTGGCCAATTCTGTGAAGGATGCCCTTGAAAGTGTTCCTCCCTATAGGGAAGGAATCAGAGAGAACAAAAATAAATAGCACTAGGTGGACTCATAAAACTTGTCAAAATCTTTCAAGCATGGCATATTTGATGATTCATGGGGTTTGCAAAGCATTGCCAGATTAAAACAAGAAATATCATGCAGAGTGGTCATTCCATAGCCTCACACTCCGTGTGGCAACATAATCCTAATGGTGGAAAGCATGATTAAGGGAACGGTGTGGCCCCCCTCACCCCCGACCCACAGCAGCTCACACCATCTTAAGGCAGAACCACGCTCATCAGCAGAGCAATGAGTTATCCGTTCCACCTTACCCTTTCTCCAGAGACAAAGACCTTATAAGCTCCCTCTGGAAATATGTTGAGAAATAATTTGTTCAAATTTCTCTCCCTGTGGATTGAGCCCATTTTCTCTCACACACTCATCAGCAGGAAGAGAGAAGCACTGATTCATCAGCCCACTTATTCCAGCCCTTCACAATTTCAGAGATGGTTGTGATAAAGCAATTTTCCTTGTGCTGTCTCCTTTCTGTAGTTTGAGTGTTAACCCCTTTATTCATACATAGCTAAATTAGCTGTTTTTCCACTCTTCGCACATTCTTGCTCAAGATGATACTTTCACCTTTCTGATCTGTGACCAGCCGTTGCACTTACTTAGCCAATGGAAAACAGCAGAGCTTTTCTACACCCAGGAGCTGGACTGAGATGATTGCTGGAGAGAGAGGTTAATCAGCCCCTGAATTCAGCTTAATCAGCTGCTGGAGGAAGACTTACCACTTTGATGAGCTCTCAGCTGCCACAAGGAGAGATTATTCATTTACAGCTATATGCTTGACTAAAGTGTGTGCTGGTTGCAGTGTTCTTCCATAATCATCCTGTCTATACCCCAGCCCCCACCCAAAACCATTCTCTACATTGTGCCAGAAAAAAAATGATTTTCTATTTTTCTTTCTTTTTAATAAATGTTGACCACGTGTTTATAATATGCCAGGCACTGTAGTAGAAACTAAAGATAAAATGATAAACAGAATAGAGTGCTTTCCCTTGATTATGGCCTAATGAAGGAGATAGAGAGTAGTCAAGAGTCACAAATAGACTTGTGTATATACTAAGGGATTAGGTCTGGTAGATGTTAGGGGTAGAGTGGGAATCAGGAAAAGCTTTCTCAAAGAAGTAATGACTTAGCTGAGATAAAAAAGAGGGGCAGTTAATTAAGCAATAGTTCCTGGAAGAGGAAACAATCCATACAAAGGCCCTGTGGTAGGCATGGAGTGGTAACAGAACATCAGTGAGGCTTACAACAGCAAGTAGAAGAGAGATTGGTTTAAGATAAGGCTGCAAGGATAGGCAGGGGCCAGACATTGCAAGGACTTAGAGTCCACACTCAGAATTTTGGTCTTTATCTCATGAGGAACGAGGAGCCCTTAAAGTGTTTTAGGCAATAGGAAATCAGCCACTGGAGGACTTTGAGCTAAAATATAGATTACTCTTGCCTTTTTTCAGTTGAAAATTGTTAATGACTTACCATAGTCTATATATTAAACTTTAAATCTCTTACTGTAGTGTTTTTGGTCCCCAGCTCTTTTCCTTGCCTTATCTTCCCCTGTACTGTCCTACCTGTCCCCTTTCATGATTAACCCTAGGTCCTAGCTTCACTGTTCACTGAACTTGTCATGTGCCTTCTGGGACTTCCATGCCTTTGCTCATGTTGTCTCTTCAGCCTGAAAGGAAAATACTGCATGCTGTTTGAAAACAGGAATTATGTCCTATTCACTAGAGTCCCTGGGGCCTAGAACAGAGCCAGATACATAATGCAGTATCAATAAAAGCTTACGGAGTTGGGTTAATGCATTAATGGCTTTATTGCTTTATTCATCTGTTGAATTTTTGCTTATTTTTTTTGAAAGCCTTAATCCAACTATAACCTCTTTTAGGCAATCTTATCAGATTCTCTAAGTTGAAATAAATCGCTCCTATCCCCAGGCCATTGTTTATACTAGTTACATCACTATTTTTAAAATATCAGATACAGAGAATTGAATATCAGATACAGAGAAACACAATCTGCATACCCAACTCAAGAGCTCTGAGAAGTAAAGGCAAACTCTTTGAATGGTGGTTCTTGGGCTTAGGGACTGGAACTGGCAGACAGATCCTCTGATACATTTAGTGAGGTTGTATCTAATCTAACTAGCTCCTTAACCTTGACATAAATTG